GGTGTTTGTCTCTGTCTGAGGAGTTGGAATAAATGTGGTTGTATCTTAGAGCTTGCCTATAGACAGTGGATTGTGTGGTGTGGTGTGGTCTGGATGAAAGCTGGAGGCATATAGGTAAGTATAGCGGTCAGTAGGTTTCCGGTATAGGGTGGTGGTTATGTGACCATCGCTTATTAGCTCTGTAGTGTCTAGGAAGTGGATCTGTTGTGTGGACTGGTCCAGGCTGAGGTTGATGGTGGGATGGAAATTGTTGAAATCATGGTGGAATTCCTCAAGGGCTTCTTTTCCATGGGTCCAGATCAGGGATGGGCAAACTTTTTGGCCCGAGGCCCACATCAGGGTTGCAAAACTAATATGGAGGTCCGGGTAGGGAAAGCTGTGCCTCCCCAGACAGCCTGGCCCCCGCCCCAGAAGCGTTGTTCTGAGTCAGCCATAAAGATGTTGGCATACTGTGGGGCCAGGCAGGTACCCGACGACTTTATGGCTGACTTAGAACAACGCTTCCTCAGCTCTCGTCCCCTAACACCCCGACTCTACTTGCGCTACGTTGATGACATCATCATCATCTAGACCTGTATTTTCCACTGCATGCATCTGACGAAATGGGCTGTAGCTCACGAAAGCTTATGCTCAAGTTTGTTAGTCTCTGAGGTGCCACAAGGACTCCTCGTTCTTTTTGCTGATACAGACTAACACGGCTACCACTCTGAAATCTGTCTGGGAGGAATTTTTACTCAAAAAGGCATAACTATTCCTGGAACCCCCTCAGCGCACTGTGGAATGCTGCAGGCCTCCGTGGAATGCAACTTTGTCCCCACACTGAACTGGTCCCATTCTGTGTGTGTCTATCAAAATACATTAATAAGACAAAAATTTAAAATCAACTTGCAGCTTAGAATAAACCAGGGGTTCTCAAACTGGGGGTTGGGACCCCCTCAGGGGGTCATGAGGTTATTCTGAATACTGGGGAAAGAGGCATGCCACTTCAGTTCTGTTCTGCTCCTCCTGCTGGCTTCTAGGCTTTTTCTGACCCTTTTCTCCTCTTTGAACTGCAACAGGGATGGGGAACGTGTGTGTGTGTGTGTCTCAAATCGAAACAACTTCAAAAATTCCAGAGTGCTCTTCTCATTTGCGGTGATTGTACCATAGTTTGAAAGAGGAGGGGCTCTTGGCATTGTGGTTTTCCTCCTGTACAATACAGTAGGTGCCATTTTAAAAAGTGCCGTTTTTACCAGTACATACTACCAGCTCTAGTACTATTTCCTATTGTAAGTCTAGTTTATACCTCAATCTCGTAATATCTTAACTACCAATAAATAAGATGAGAACCCTTTGAACTGTGCCACTCTATACAAGTATTTTGCCATTAGTATAGCAAGGTCTTGTATGTGGTAACTATCTTCAATTTAATGTAGAAAAAGCATCTGAATTGTAAGTAAATTTGTACATTTTATATTTCATCTAGAAAAACTACAAAAGTCCTTAGAAGTTTTATCTGTAATATATTTTTGAGTCTCCATGTTTACAAGTAAATATATATTTATTTTCTAAAGTACATTGCTCTAAACCTCAAGGAAGGCAATCTTTTTCGTTTTTATTGCAAATTTAAAAAAAAATTTCTGTTGATCAGATCACTTTGTTTCTGAAAGGGCAGATGAGTGGTTGCTCAAGCATTAAACATAAGGGGCCAAAAATCTGCTTTTTGTGCAGTGGCATGATGTGTAATCCAACTGAAGTCGTAGGAGTTGTGTATGCATAGCTGAGGGCAGATTTTGGCCCAGATGGTGCTATTTAACGAGCATTTTAATTATGCAACTAGGCAGAAGTATGGGTTGGACAGTATGTAGCAACAGAATGTTCAGAAATATTAGCATGCATGAATCTGAGTGGGAGTGGCCAACAGTCCATGTAAGTGTGATTCAGATATGTGCAGAGAAAATAAAAGGAAAAGGAGTTTAATATGGTGGGCTCTACAACCATTTTCAGTAACAGACGCAAAACTTATTTCATGGTGTGGAACATCAGACAAGAAGCTAATTGGTTTCATAGCATGAGGTTAATGAAACCTACATATCCATGTTGATCATGCGGATTGTTCTCATGCTGCTGTTTCTAGTACTCTAAAATATGCTGATTCCCAGTTATGTGATCTTGGAATCATTGTGCAGTTATGCTAAGGCTAAGGGGTAACTTCTGAACCTTCATATAAGGCTAAAATGAAGAAAAATCAATTTCAAACTCTAAAAGGAGAGAACTCTTCTAACTGAAAGTCCCTGAACTTTATTGCCGACTCTACTGTACTGGAGTCTTGAAAGGGAATTTAAAAATATACCAGACAGGGTATGAAACTTGATCGTGTACTGTACTGCTGCCCTGGAATACTGTGAAAGGGAACCATGAGTATAGAGAAAATGCAATTGAGGGTGGAATTTTCCCACCAACCGTAAGGGATTTTAACCTCCAATAAATATATCGTTGCAGTAATAAGATAGGGGAATTAAGGCTTTGTCTACACTAGCACTTTTGTTGGCAAAACTTTTGTCAGTCAGGGGTGTGGGGGAAAAAAACATACAGCTACCACCACTCATTGGTGATGGCTTAATTATGCTGGCGGGAGAGAACTCTTGCGCTGGCATAGAGCGGGTACGCGGGAGACCGTGTACCGCTGCTGCTGTAAGGTTCGTAGTGTAGACATAGCCAGAGAGAAGTGCTTCCCTTAAGGCTCAGGGACCAGCTGTAAAATCGCTTAAGTCTGTCGTCTTCCCTCGCACTTCTCCCCCTGATTGCACTCTTAAGAACAAAATAAAATATTTTAAACTGGAACAAATGTTCTTAGTGAAAGATTCCAACATATTTTTAAAAATACACATTATCTTGTCATCTGATGCAACTGTAAATACTGGATTGACTCTCAGTTAAGGGCATGCTTGGGCCACCATGCTTTTGGAATTTGGTGTAAAGAGTATACCAGTGGCTCTATGGTCTGTGAGCCTCCAGTGAATGCTGGCTGGGAACATGGTGCTGGCTCTCCCCTTTGCTTCTAGCTGCTATAAGTTGTATTAAAATAAACCAAAAACCCAATAAATACTTTCCCAATATTACTTTTCCATGTAAACAATTGCTGTGGTTGCTACCGGGGTGGTGATTGATTACACTGATCAACTCTGCTCCTGATGGCAATCATGAATGGAAGTGGAGGTGATCTAGAAAACAATCTTTCTGTTAAGATCTGGTCCACAGTATGAAAAAAACTTAGGACTTCCGCACTACAAGGCTATGGTAACTTGGTAACTTGTGCCCACTTGGAGAAACCTTCAGGAACAGCTCATGTTCTGGCCCAGCTGTGATGGCAAGATTAATGTCCTCTTAGGTTCCCAGTTGCTTTTCCACCTGACTTATCTGTAATCCTCTGTCAATAATAAGTTGCAGTTCCTCATTATCTGCTATATTTTCAGTCTCCAGCCCTCTTTCCAGCCGTGTACTAGATGGGTGTCCAGTTGTGTACCAAGAATCTCTCTGCATGAATACCAACTTAAATGAAGTGACATAATTAGTGCTTATGAAGGGCATTAATCGTTCATGAATCAAGGCTTTTCAGGGAAAGAGAAATGGGAATCTTCTTAACCACACACAAGCAAACCTTCTTACAGTAGAAGTAGCACTGTAAGGACTCTCTCTTGTTTTATTCCACCAAATGAACTGTTCTGCAAGTGCAAGGTCTTCCTGGCATGTAGTGTTAATTATTTAAAATAAGCACACATTGCTGCATCATTTCACATTTAAAAATAGTCACCATAGCACGTGCACTTCTGAGAACTAAAGTAAGATCTAGTATCTGATATTGGAACCCTTTCGACTGTAATTCCCAGTTAGTTCAATTAAGTTGTGCTGGTTCAGAAGCTTTCATCTGCAGTGTGAATTTTTGACATTTTACTCAGCTGTCTTTCGCTGTCATTATCTTCTTGTTTGTTTTAAAAAAAGCGTTGAAACCTGCAAATTATGCACATAGCAGGGGTCTACGCAACATTGTGCTCCTGTCCCCATCTTTTGTCTTGTTACACTCATGTGTGCCACTTTTATTGAGAAGCTATGCAGGGCAGGGACGCTCATTCTGACCCCAATTCTACCACCCTTACTCCACAATCAGGACTGCCCACTACTGTGTGAAGGCTATTCTCTGCTCCCATGTAAGTAAATGCCAAAACTCACAGGTTATTCAATGTAAGGATGGCAGAGTTGGGCCCTGTGTTGTAGGTATGTACTGTACCTAGCACCAGAGGGCCCAGTCATGATTGGGGCCTCTGGTGGTGACTACCATAATAGAAAGCCTAAGTAGCTTATGAAGTGTAAAGTAAAATGGTGTTGATTCTGATATTCTTTTCTAGCAGTTATGATAGTCTCTACTACACAATTGGAACTGAATGCCACCCTTGATGACCAGTGTTAAACTGTTGACACTTTTGCTGCTGCTGTTAATCTCACCAATATATAATAAAATATTTCATTATAGTTAAGCTAGAATCTATATTTTGAAGCTCAGATATCAGCGTCCATAGTAGCTCTGCATACAGAGTTTGGCCCTTAGAATTTGGGAGGGTATTCCCTATAAGATTATCAGTGGTATTTCAAAATTCTTGAAGGGATTTGGATGCCCATTTCCCATAGGAATTAGGACAGTTCCCATGTCCAAATCCCTTAGCGATTTTTGAAAATCGCAGCCTATGCCTATTTTATAAGATGTGTTTAGATTTCAGGCCTCAGCTACATCACAGTATCTCTTTAAATCTTTTTTATCTGAGTAGCGGTTAACTCCAGTTAGAGGTGAATCTCATCCGCTTTCCAACCTGAAAAAGTAAAGCTGACCAGGTACCAATCCCAAAGAAAGATTTAATTAAAATAAAATGCTTTGTTCAAAGAGTGCTCATGATAAAGAGCTCATGATAAAGAGCAGGAATCCAGATATAGTAAACTTGCATTCTAATGCTTATTTTCTTTTGCAGACAGCATCATCTGCTATTAAAGGAGCTATTCAGCTGGGAATAGGATACACAGTAGGTAACCTCACCTCTAAGCCAGACAGAGATGTACTTATGCAAGACTTCTACGTAGTGGAAAGTGTATTTCTGCCCAGGTAAGGACAATCCTATATCATGTTTTTTTCGAACAAAAAATTAATAGCATGCCTTCATTTACTAGATGTGCTAACTATGAGGACTATTTTGAAAAGAGAATTTTCCTGAAACAAATGGGATCATAGTAAAGTTTTTAATATAAGAGCAGTTCAGTGGTTTTATGAGAGGATATTTTAATAATAAAAAAAATGAATGTGAACTATTTCAACTGGAAGTTTGGCATTCAAAATAAGTTGAAAATTAATGTAATAGACTAGACTCTAACTTTTTTGCCTGTGCCATAGCCACAGCTGAAGCAAATCCTTGCATACAGTTAGCTCTGCCAATGGTCTCCAACATTCAGTTCATTCAGAAACATCCATGTTTCCAGATCCATATTTCCAAATATGGCGGTGAAAGGGTGGTAGGAGGGATTACCATGTGCACACTGATTAGTGAGGACAGGTGGTCCTGTGTTTGAGAGATTAGACTGAAATTCAGGATCTGGGTTAAACTTCAGACTCTGCCACAGACTCCTGTGTGACCTTGGGCAAGTCACTTAATATTTTTGTGCTTCAACTGAACATGTGTAACATGAGCCTACTAATGCTTCCCTACCCTGTCAAGGTGGTGTGAGAACTAATATGTGAGGCTGTCGGGTCCTATGGTGATGGGGGCAACATAGGTGGAAACTTTCAACCAACATCTAACTCCATAACTGGTGCCAATGTTAAGTATTTGTACACAGACTGGACACCATAGTTATTGTGCAGACAGCAGTTTCAGATATTGCTATAGCCCTATTTAAGGGATAATATTTGGAAAAACATACTCCGGTTTATGTGGGAAATCAGATCACAGCAGATATCAACAATAAAAAAAACTTGTTACATAATGGCTTATATTTTTTTTCCAAACTGTCATGTATGACAAAAAGTATAAAGAACATATAGACCAAGATTTTCAAAAATAAGAGTTCCTAAATCCACTTTTAGGTATCTGCCTGATTCTCAGAAATACTGAGTCCCCAACAGCTCCCATTGTAGTAACTGGGAGCTATGGTGCTGGACATTTCAAGCCACTTACTTAAGACTTGTTTCAGAGTAACAGCCGTGTTAGTCTGTATTCGCAAAAAGAAAAGGAGTATGGTTTCCAGCATGCATCCGATGAAGTGAGCTGTAGCTCACGAAAGCTTATGCTCAAATAAATTGGTTAGTCTCTAAGGTGCCACAAGTACTCCTTTTCTTTTTGCTTAAGATTTGTCTACATGAACACTTAGTTCTCAGCAAGCTGGGGTGTAAATCTGTCCCATGATAGTATGCTGTGTATGACATGTCCATATGGACTCTGCTGCCACACACACAAGTTCCCTATTGCAATTTGTTCTCCTGTTACAATGCAGGATAGATTCAAGTGCACTAGGGAACTTCTAGTGCATGGCAGCAGGGTCCACATGGGCAATAGTGTGCAGCAAGCTAGTGTGGGGTAGATTTACACCCCAGCTTGCTGCGAATTAAGTGTTCATGTAGACAAGCCATTAGTTGAGTATATGTTGCAATTTGAATGTGGGCTAACATTTAATCTGAACATAAACCCACAAATCTTCTCGAACATAAAATATAGTCCTCAGAAACATTAGGAATGACGTCACTAAAACAATGTATATATTTGTAATAGGCAGTGTTTAATCTTGAGAAAAGATGACTGAGAGGGGACCTGATAAGTCTTCAAATATGTTGAGAGCTGTTACAAAGAAGATGACATGAAGAACAATTGATCACCGTCTGAGAGTAGGACAAGAAGTAATGGGCTTAATCTGCAGCAAGGGAGATTATAATTAGAAAGTTTTTCTAAAATCTAACTAAAGGGTAATTAAACTCTGGAATAATTTTCCAAAGGAGGTTGTGGAATCCCTATCATTAGAGATTTTTTAAGAACAGATTAGACAAACACCTATCAGGGATAGTCTAGGCTGATTTGGCCCTACCTAATTGCAGGGGGGCCAGACTTGATGACTACTTGAGGTCCCTTCCAACCCTACATTTCTATGGTTCTATGACAGCCATATTTTTTTTTAAAAAAATGATCTGGTCTGATAATGTAAAGCCATTGTTTATGTGGAAGAAGACTTGGGGCTAAGTTAATCTGAAGCATTTTCTTAAAGAAAATCTCAAAGTTCGGAACATATTGCCTGGATAATATCCAGTCTTTACCCCACATGGCTGTAGTTGTGCCAGTGGGAATTATTCATGTTCCATGCTCGTGGTTTGTGAGTGTCTATAATTGATGAGTCTTGTATATGCTTTTTCTGTGTGATCTATATTCTGAGAAAATATGTAGATACTAACCAAATAAATACGTTTTAATACTTCACCAAGAATTTTTCAGATCACAAGAAGAAAATTACCACTTCTATATTGTCATGTAACCAAACTCTTCACTGTTTCAAAAACCAAAATAATAGCCCTACTTGAATGAAGATGTTGCCATTACAAAGACAATTCATGTACCCAATAGGAGTCTGCATGGCTATCTGTAAAGACTTCAGAGCCCAAGTTATTCTTTTATATATCAAGTGAAACTTGCATTCACAAAAACTACTATAAGCCGTTGTTTTTGAATTAATAGCAAAGAAGTGGAAGAATCCATTCCATTTCCTTTTTTTTTTCCAGTTTGATTTGTTGTTTTTATAAATGTCAATGTTGTGAAAGCCATAATACGTTAGTTACCTGATATGAAAACATTCCTGCATACATGCTTACAAATGCAATTTCCAAATGCCTGTGTGGTTCTTGTGTTAAGGGTAGTGATAAGACAGGTTTCTTCTGTTTTAAAAATGGAATGGGGGCATGAGGAGCAACTTGGCTTGCCTGTATTAACAGAGTTTATTGTGTGTGTGTTTTTAAATAAATAAATTAATTAAATAAATGAGTAGCATCTTCCTGTCCAGTCATCCAAAGACAACACATAGAAAGCTATTAATTTAAAGTTTTAGCCAGATGCAACAAGTAATTTGACTTGCTGTCTGGTTTTACTAGTCAGTAAGCAAGAAAGAGTTATATATAGTCAGTCTCCTTGACTGAAACAAAGGATCTTTTTATAAAGGGTACTTATTAATAATAATCTTCCTCCATTAGATTCAGGAGTAGCAATCCATTTGTCTTTTAAGACCAATTATTAAATCTACAATTTCTGTGCATTAGGGGGTATAGGAGATGGAAAGTCTGAGTCTTATCTCTTTGTAAATTGCATATTTATCTGCCTGTCTAAAATGATATCGAGTAGGAATAAAAAGGTACTAGTTAGGATGAATTGCAAGAGTACGACTCTTCATAGTAAAGTAGGGAGCTCCACTGTTGAGTCCCATTTGAAAGTACAGTGCAGATTATTCCTGAATGTCACCAGCAGATTGTTAGCGTCAACCAGGTTATAAAAGTAGAAGGAGTCTCTCTTTCTCAAGGCAAAGGGAGTAGTGACTGAGACAAAGGAGGCAAAACCCGAGGAATAGCTGATCTAGGGAGAAAAAGCTTAGGCTAAGGTGAGTTTGATAGTTATTTGAATTACTCCCTCTCTGTGATTAGGGCATCGTTGGTAAATTTGAGCTATGTAAGAGGTGTATGTGATCATGATGAGAAAACAGGCTTAACAAGCAAGCAGCCACATTTTGCACTAGCTTCAGGTTTCCAATGTGATTTAGCTGTAGCCTTATCCAGAGTACTAATTTAACTCCAACGTTGCTATATAATATACGTGTCCATTTGCAGCAGCACTTTGTCTTTATGGGCTGTCCTGATCATTTCATCTCCCCTTTGACTGGTCCCTTGTCTGCACCCAGGCCTGATGGGAGTGATACAGGCAATGAAGTGACATGTCACTTATTTCCTAGAGTTCTGTGCACTCCTGATGCCACGTTGTCATAGTAGTGGGAGCATTGTTACAGTCGTGGTGTTTTTAGCGTAAGCGCGATGTGCCTGAGGCAGCATGTGACCAAGTCTACTGGTTGGATCATTAGTTTCCCTGGCCCGGGCCAGGTACTGATGTGGAGTGTGACACTGTAAATCCAGACTACTTGAAGTGCAATGAAACAACACTTCTACTTGCATTCCAGCAAGCAAAATCATATGACAATTATAGTTTTGTATAAAAGAAAATCATGGAAAGATAGCCAACAATTGTCTTATGATTAATCAATAACAGAAAAGAAATAACCTCTGTGTAGTTCTCCATCCCTCAAATAAACTGCACCATCTGTATGATAGTTTAGTAACCATAGCAAAACATAATATTATTTCAGGATACTAACAGTAAGAGATTCATGTGGTTAAAAACACCAAGAGGGAAAAGGAGGAAAATGGTTGGTTAGAACTCAATATAATGGACCAAATTCTGCTGGGTTATACTGCTGTAAAGCAGAAATAACTCCACTGATTTCAGTGCAATTACTTAATATTTACATTGGTGTATCTAAGAGTAGAATTTGGCCCAATGCTTGGGTGTATTGCATGTTTGACTCAGTCATTTTCAGTAAGTTACCACGTCTTTGCACTGTGCCTTTAAACTGCTTAAAATGTTTTCTTTCACTGGCCATTATAGCACATGTGCAGTGATGAGAGGATACCTTCCCAGCTTCCACTCCTCCACACTCATCTTTGGGACAGGGTGCAACAGGCAAAGCTCTTGTTGTTCATATTGGGCTATCCAGAAGGAAGTTTATAGCATGTTGCTTTTAGGAGCCAACTGTGATGTGTCACAGAGGGTTACAGTACAGTAATTCATTTTTAGGACCAGATTCTGGATGCAGTTTAAATGGCAGTGAGCATGAGTGCTCATTTTACAGAACACAAATTGGCTGAGCCAGTTGATCCTAACGAGGGAACCTATGGCTGCTCTACATTTGGGTAGTGTAAAGCTACTCTGGGAACTCATGCAAATAATCTTTCCTGTCCCTCAGAAACACCCCTATGCAAATCCGTAGCCTCTCTTTCCACTACCAGGGCCAGTGGTGTTACTGTAGCAATAC